TAAAAATTGTACACGCGTCGTCTCTCCAAGAGTCGATTGCGTCACAGCCGCGTATATAAACGCACATTATTATTAATTTGCATTTGTCGCCGTCCGATATCGACAGTATAATTCACAGGAATGTTGTTTGTTATTATTTTATTTATTTCGTTCGAAATAAGGATGATGCCATATAAACGTAATTATTCGCACTACAACTATATTCGTGATATTCGCGGAATGCGATACGGACAATTAGTCATTCGAATTTTCGTGTATGTTTGTTCCGTATTGGCTAATGAATTTTTATGCGACTTGTTGCTAAGTTTCCTCTGTCGGCGGCGAGAATCAATTAATTCCCGGCCTGCGATAAAATTTTAAATACCGCACAGATTCGATAATCCTACAACCGAAATATTTGAATAGTTTGAACAATAGTAGCACATACCACGTTAGATATTTATTAATTATAATAATTACTAATTAATTATTCATTACAAAGGATTACAGAATTAAACTTTTTGATAGATTTTTTTTATTTCCAAAACTGTATATTTTTAACAATGCTTTCTAGTTTTTTTTACAAAACTTCTGGATTCCTGCGTCGGTTTTTGGAACTTGCTGACGTTTCGTCAATCATCCTGTTGGCTTCTTCAGAATCTGACTGATACTGACTTGCATTTTACTGTGTAGCTCTCGGATTTTTGGTTGGTAGAAGAATTGATTACATGCAAGAATTTTAGTTTCATCGAATAAAATTTTATCTCCGGTTTCGTGATTTTCCGTAAGGCTCTTTCGTGTTCTTTGGGCCTAGTTGATATTGAAACTGCTGGCATCTCAAATGGAATTTTGTCTTTGAGATGTTGTGAGATTTTTGGACAAATGGTAAATTTGGTATTGACGTTATACTTCTTTACAACTTTTGATATTTTGAATGTAAGAAAGGACCACAGTGTAGGATTGCTTTCGGCCTCATTGCTATTGGAAGGTTGTGGTGAAGTGTATTTTGTGATGGAAGAACAGAGGTAAGATGTTTTAATTCTATATTCAGTAAACAAGAGAGTTGATAACCGATGATTTTTGGGCCGGATGGTGATGTGTCCATGCATTAAGGCATCGGTCTGCGTGCGTAGGTTTACTGTAAACACCTTAGCTCTGCTCTTCTCTCTAATAATTTCCACATTAAAGATGTTAAGCGTTCCATCAAAAAATACACTTCAGCACAACCTTCCAATAACAATGCCGAAAGCAATGCTACACTTGCCACTATGATCCTTCCTTACATTCAAAACATCACTGACCGCATATCAAAAGTTCTAAAGAAGTATAACGTCAAAACAAGATTTACAACTTTGTTCAAAAATCTATCTTTATAGTATTCCATGAGTATGCGGAAACGAATACATTGGAGAGACCGGACGAAAAATATCAACTGGGCTCAAAGAACACGAAAGAACCTTACGACTAAGACAAATAAACTCATCAAAATCACGAAACCGGAGATAACATTTTATTCGATGAAACTAAAATTCTTGCATGTAATCAATTCTTCTATCAACGAAACAGAAATATTAACCGCGACTCAGGTGTCCACCTGCCACCAATATGGGAATCAGCCATCCGAAACGGTATATAAGCAGGTACAGAATAAAATGCTAGCCAGTTGCAGTCAAGCTCTGAAGAAGCTAACTGGATTATTGGATCGACTCAGCAAAAACAGACGCAGGAGGAATCCAGAAGTTTTCTAAAGAGTGACCTGTGGAAGTTTCTTTAAAAAATACTTTCTAGTTTTCGTCCTTAGAGTTCCCAAGAAACTTATCAATTACTTTTTTAAATGAAACCAAGGCGTTGTGGTCATTGTGTTTTGAAAATCCTTGTTTTTGCGTAACGTTCTTATCTGCGGCGTAACAAAAATACCTTTTTTTATCTTGACATCACATATGGCTGGAAATTCCTGACACAAATATTTGAAACACTATCCATTTTAGTATAGGGTTTTAACTAACTGCATCGTCAAGCCAAGTTTGACACGAAAAGGATGCAGTAAAACTTTTTTGGGGTCAACTAATACATTTTGCTACCAGGTGTGAGGCTTGTTCTGAAAAGTCCAATGTCTATCTCTTGCCCGACTATTTTGTATAACCTAGAAGCATGCACAGCACTTTTAGGTCACTACAAAGCATCCACTGATGTTTTTGGTAATTTATTTTCTTCAACCGAAGTCCTAAATCTTCATACGTTTCTTTTAAATGCAATGGGAACCGGGGCCAGTTCGTTACCAATAAAACGCCATTTAAACTACTCTTAGTTGGCACATTTCCTAATTATGAAACTAATTCAGGAAATTTGTTGCAATACTCATGACATAACTCTTTTTCGCGATCCCGGTAAAAGCTTGATGCTTGTCACGAAATCTGGACGCTAAGAATTCCGATGCATCCTTTGCAAGGTGCAAATCTCTAATGAAATCATTTAATTCGTTCTGGGTCTATCTGAAATCTGGTGTGAAATCTGACTCATCTATGCCCGAATTAGATTTTTTTTACAAAAGAAGTTATCTTCATCTTCGCAAACATATTCATGTCATGTATATTTAAAAAATAACGTTTTTTTAGATATAGAGCGCTATAAAAAAAATGACGTGATAGAGCAAAAATATGCCGTTTTTTGGAAAAAGGCCTCCCAAGAATATACAAATAAGCAAACAGCTCTCAAACATCAAAATCACTGCAGACTTGTGGAATCCATATTCGATACGGGAAGTGTAAAACCAAAATCATCTAGTCCTAAAGGAAAGTGAACATGTTAGTTCACAAAGTGGATTACCTAAGTACAAAAAGCAATGAGAATATCACAGTACATAATAATTTAGCTTATTGCTCACTTTAACCTAAGTATTTGAAGCATACTAATGAGAACTAATGAGAACACAAGATTAAACTTTTTACTAAAAGTTGAGGATGATGAAAAGTATTTTATGACACTTTTTTAAGGCACCACCACAACCTCAAAAAAGAAACTTATTACTAATTTATTAGTTATTTGGTAAAATGTCTTTTCTGACTTTTGAGTTCGAAATGAAGTGACAAATCCAAATAAAAAAAAGAGAAAAATACTAAATAATTCTACCAAAAAAAGATTTATTCTTTTTTTTAAGAAAAAACAGCTCGATATTTACAATTTCTTAAAAATGACTTCATTTCTATTTTCGCAGTTTGTTTCCCAAATTTTGAAATAAAGTTGCAGAAATTATTTCAAAACCTTTTTACACCAAGAACAAAGGGACAATAAATAAATAATAACTAACCTCGCACCGCTCGTAATGGGGGTTGTTCTATTTCTCTTGCTCAAGGTAGAATAAGGTGTTCTTGTTTGATTACTTTACGTACTGATATATTCTCAGATAAATTATTCAATAATTTCTTTAAACATTTGTATAAAATATAATTTATAATAATGTAATTCCATTTCTTGTTAAAATTTGTTTAGAAAATTTTTTATGCAAATACCTACATTTTTACACAAAAAAAGAGAATAATACTAAATAATTTTACCAAAAATATGATTTACCTATTTTTTTAATAAAAAAACGATTTTAAAATGCAAAACAAACTAAAATAAATCTCTTTTCTTAATAATTTATAATAATCTATTTTTTTTTTACTTAAATATGTAACTTTAACCAATATATTTCGTTTCTCGTAAAATTTGTTTTGAATTTTTTTTATGTAAATACCTACCTTTTAACATAAAAAAGAGAATAGTACTAAATAATTTTACCGAAAAAATGATTTACCTTTTTTTAAAAGAAAAAAAAAACGATTTTAAAATGCAAAACAAACTTCAAAAAATAAATAAATAAATAAATCATTTATAATAATCTAATTTCTTAAGAAACATCCGGAAATATTGATTTAAAAATGCACACGATATTTACTTAAATATGTATGTTTAACCAATAGACCTCATTTCTTGTAAATAATTATTAGAAAAATTTGTTACCAAAAAAATGATTTATTTTTTTTAAACAAACTTCAATAAGTCTCTTTTCTTAATAATTTATAATAATTTAATTTTTTCTTACTCAAATATGTACTTTTAGCCAATATATTCCGTTTCTTGGAAAATTTGTTTTGAAAATTTCTTATGTAAATACCAAAATACCAATTACACCAAAAAAAAAGAGAATGATACTAAATAATATTAACAAAAAAATATTTCCCTTTTTTTAAAGAAAAAGAACCATTTTAAAATGCAAAACAAACTTTAATAAATCTCTTTTTTAAATAATTTATAATAATCTAACTTCTTAAGAAACCTCCGCAAATATTGTGTAAAAAATGCACACTGTATCTTCTTATATATGTATTTTTAACCAATATATCTCGTTTCTTGTAAAATTTGTTATGAAATTTTTATATGTAAATATCTACCTTTTACACAAAAAAAAAACGAGAATAATACTAAATAATTTTACCAAAAAAATGATTTACATTTTTTTAAAGAAGAAAAACGATTTCAAAATGCAAAACAAACATCAATAAACCTCTTTTCTTAATAATTTATTTTTTTTTACTCAAATATGTACTATTAACCATAATATTTCGTTTCTTGTAAAATTTGTTCAGAATTTTTTTTATGTAAATATCTACCTTTTTACGCAAAAAAAAAAGAAAATAGTACTAAATAATTTTACCAAAAAAATGATTTACCTTTTTTTTAAAGAAAAAAAGCGATTTTAAAATGCAAAACAAACTTCAATAAATCTCTTTTTTAAATAATTTATAATAACATAATTTCTTAAGAAAACATTTTTTTGAAAACTTTGTTACCAAAAAAATGATTTACTTTTTTTTTAAAGAAAAAATGACTTCAAAATGCAAAACAAACTTCAATAAATCCCTTCTGAGCCAAGAAACAACAAAAAAAAATACAATTTGTTCCCCGCAGCGAAAAGCAGTGACAAGGGCGAAAGTGCCGACGAAAACCGACAAAAGCGAACCACACACATGCTTACGTACTTTTCTTTTTTAAACCGCTAAAGTAGGCAACACACCGAAGCACCGATTACCGATAAGATTTTAATCACGGCAAAGTACTTTCAGCACCGAACGCGCACCGATTGCGACTGGCGGACTGAAGCCGTCTTTCCACTCGACCGTGCTAAGCGATCTGATATCTTCGCTGTTAAGATTGCGTTAAAATAATGCAAACGCTTTGTTTTTTTTTTTTGCTCGACGACATTGCCAAGTTTTTACCTCTTGATTCTCCTACACCGCTTGGATTATTTTTGACGATACGCTCCACTTCGTGGGGCAAAGAAAGCGATCAACCCTCTAAAAGGAGACGTGAGTAGAGTTGCCTACCACACGGTGAAAATTATTTTGCGTTTTAATACTGTTTACTTAAAAAAAAACATTATACAAAATACTGTTTTTATGATTGGTGATATATGGAAAACAAAAACGCTCAATATTGTAATAACCTGTCAACTGTGGAAAGAAAAAAGAAGAAGAGACACCACAGAATGATAGAAATAACGTAATCCTAACTGTGGACGGTATATTTTTTTCATGTCATATTAATAATAGGCCCGAATATGATGTACGCAGTCTACTGGAAGATAGTGGAGTAGGAACCCCTCTTGATGTTTTTACAATAATAAATAAACCTATGTTAACAACTCAAGAATCGTAAACCTAATGGGATTGCCGAATCCGCCAAATCTGTTCGCAAGTGCAATGCGAAAACTCTCGCTGACTCTGACGTAGGTGAAGTCCTGAAGTCCTGAAAATGACCCGAGTTTTGATAGACTTGAAGTACTTTGAGTAGCTAATATAGCATTTTGTTTGGATAATCACTCGTTATTTTCATTTAATATCAACATTTAATAATTATTGGGAAGTAGCATAGGGTAGGGTCTCAGGTAGGGTAAAAATAATACTATTGCAATCAAGATTGGCTTATATGCATTATCTTGAAATACATGTATTACTTAAATATTGTTACACAAAACTAGCGAACAAAACGATTTAATCGCTTCTTTTTTTTTGACAATAAATCGATTTGATTGTGGGTAAGTACCGCCTTTAATATTGTCATGGGTGCTATTTCTTCAGTTGTTTTAGATTTTGGGGATTTATAATATTTAGTTTTGAAATATTGGTCATTAAGAATTTTATTTTTTTTATTACTATTGATAAAATAACCTTCAGCTTTAATAGAACTAGCTTCCAGCAAAGAATATTTTTTGGTTAAATTATTAAATCTATCCAACAAATTCATATACTTAGCTTTATAATTTATTATTTGGGGTTCGGAGATGGGTTCTGGCCGGGGTTCTGGCATGGGTTCTGGAGATGGATTTTTCCCTAGAATTTCACTTGTAGCATTCGATGATGTTGCTAAAAGGTCAGACAATACCTGCTGAGCTTCTTTTTTGGCATTTTTGGAATGAAGTCTTTTCGATTTAGATAATCCTGCTTGTATCGGTGGCTTCTGGTTAAATAATAATAGGGTGGGAACAGCAGTTTTTTTTTTAATCTTTTTTAAAGGTAAACCTAAAATTTAAATTTTGTGGTGAATTTAATGTGTTACTCAAGAAAAAAAAACTTAATAACTCATTTTATTATCGTAATCATTTTCAATAAAATGAACTGAGCAGACATAGCTTTTATCTGGATTAAGTTTGTCCTCTCTTCTACATCGAACTATCCACTCGTTCCGAATAGTTCGGGATACTAGATCTTTCCCTTTGGGAAAGCGATGAAAACTACACTTTCGAGAACTTGCTTTTTCATCAAAATAGTTGTTATTGCACCCATACGTCGCACATCTCGTACCAGGCATACTTAACTATTTTTTGATGTAACTTAACCCACTGAAAAAGGTAAAACAAATGTATTTCTTACCTTTACCTATATTATTATGTGTAATATTTTGAGCTAACCTCGTAACTAATAACACCGCTAATAAGCAACACGAACACAAAACTTTTAAAGTTTTTGTTTAAGGTTAAAAATACTGTTTTTCTCAGTTCTCGCTACTCAAGCACATACAATTTTAAAGTATTTAGTAAAGCTTAAAAACACTGTTTTGTCCAAGTTTTTTTTACAGAAATACAATTAACACAAACATAAGCGCACTACTCACTAGTTTAAATTATTTTAATTTTTCAAAGAATACAAAATACAACGGTTTAATACGCCTTCAAATACATTGACAGAATACGCAAAAACCGTTAGAGGACTTCGTTTACGTCATAAGCGACCACGTGCGATCGATAATTTTGGCGACGGTATGTCTTATGGGATTGGGCAATCCTATTAGCTTTACGATTCTTGGTCACAACTACAAAGGTTTTGATGGCGTTTCTAAACTTCAACACGATTAGAATATGAAAAATAAAACCATCCCCTTCACACACATTCACACACATTTCGTTTAATACTAACAAAAATCTCAGTTTCAAATTATAATAATAATATTATATTATAATATATTAATGAAATATTACATAACAAAAAGAAGAAATTTTATGAAAAAGAAGACCTACTGAGCGCTCCATGTAATGATACACTTCTACGATGCAAAGCCATAATTCAGAAAGAAGAAGAACTGTGGACGTGAAATGAACATAACCTTTTCGATTCTTTCACTTTGTTTGAAGTTGGTTTGGTTGGTTTTGGTTTGGTTTGGTTTCACAGTATTAAGTGCACGAAAAATGGAAAGCGAATTGATTTACGTTGGGATGCGTCCGCCAGCTAAGAAGAAACGCAAATTAATTAACATCAAACAAAAATATAAGCGAGAGCAGTTCAGGAACTCATGAAGCAAGTATATCAATTTTTTTTGGGAAGTTCCATTGGACGTGCGCAGGCGCGAGATTTTAATTTTCGTTTTTAACGACGATAAGGTGCGGAAACGAAGTGCATGATTGCAGCACCCGTTTTAATTAATTTGACGGTTTTGTTCTTTAACATACGATGCAATTTCTACATGTATTTTTTCATGTTGTTTCATAAACTCATAGGTTTAAACTCTATTGAAAACATCAATAAAGTCAGAATCACAAAAGGCCACTGTTAAAAGTCTAAATATAACTTTGAGAGTTTGAATATCGCACAAGAAACGTGAAAAAAATGTTCAAGAAGCACCTCCTTTAGACAGAACGTTCATTCTTTCACCGCAAGTCTAGTAATTGCAGATGTTAAGTTTCGCCTCCCGATTGAGATCGTTATGTTGGTTATGTTCGCAGTTTCAATTCACTTTGTGAGACAGAAGCGCTGGACTTGTTTTGTGTACTCGGCGATTTTTCGCCGTCAAAAAAATGTGCAACAGTACTGCAAAACACTTAAAATGTTGACAACGGTATACGGTGAACCTTTTTTGAGCAAAAAAATGTTAATAAGTGGTACAAGCTCTTTCAAGGTGGCCGACAAGAGACCTGGACGTCCCAGCACAAAACCACAATCATGCCTCAGCCACCATATTCACCGGATATGGCCCACCGAGACTTTTTCCTGTTCCGGAAACTCAAGAAAGTCATGAAAGGAAGAAAGTTTGGAACGATCGAGGAGATAAAGCAAAAAAAATCGCTGGAAAAACTCAAGGCTATACCCGAAATGCTTCAAGGATTGAAAAACACGTCGGCACAAGTAGATAACATTAATACGGATGAATAAATAAATACTTTTTGATAAAACTTAAAAGTCACCTTGCTCTTGCTCTTTGAATATATGTATATATATATATATATATATATATATATATATATATATATATATATATATATATATATATATATATATATATATATATATATATATATATATATATATATATATATATATATACTTCTGAAAAATACATTTTGCTACAGATAAATTTATTTAAAGCGTTAGAAAGACTGAAATAGTTTAAAGTGTTTGAAAGCGAAGGTTTTTTAAGAAATTAGAAGGATTGAATGACGTCAGTAAAAATATATCAGAAAATAAAGAAATCAAACAACAAGAACACCTCATTCTTCCATGAGCAAGATAAAGACTACAATCCCCATTACCAACCGTTTGAGAATTCAATACTGGTGAACCTATTGAAAAGTTACAACCACAAACCTCAAACAAAACCGAGAAAACTTTACGTGATATCATGATAGATTGGACCGATCAAATTGATATAAATAATTTGTAAAACTCATGATATTTCGGAATATTAGTAAACCCAAATATTTATTGCACCTTCACACAGTCTATTTGCGGGTATGTCGGTGTTTTGCACACTCACTTGCAGTCTAATTATGTGTATGCGTCCCTAGCTAAAAATAAAAATGTTTCGTGCTGGTTGGTAGGTGGTACCGTTCCAAAATTGTTAATTAAAACTCGTCGAGTGGTCTCGTGCTGATTTCACTCGTCGAAATGTTTTAATGCCAACAAGGACAATTTATATCTATAGCAGCTTCTACTATACAGCATTGGGAAGCAAATACTCTTTAATATAAGGTTGAAAGTCCGTCAATTCTACCGTAGACATCAAGCAGCGTATTGTGATCGAATGAAGCCCGATAAGTCATCGATAAGAGGTCTAAACACTTGCAGGCAACATAAACAAACTCGTTATGAGCTAATCAAATAAAAAGTATCCCTTCTTGTTTAATTCGATATAAAAAGAAATCCGGGTGTGGCAAAAGATTCGAAAGGTAGTCCCTTAGAATCACAAAATTTTAAATGACATTTAAAAAGTTTCTCGTTTTGGCTAATACTTGTAATAATTTTTAATCTTTATCTGAGCTACCAAGCCTGGAAAATGTCTGCAATTGTTTCAAGGCTATTTATCTTACCTACAATTTTTGTGCTACATGACAAAATATTTCATGTTGTTAAGGGCCAAGTAGTCCTTCAACAATATGAATTTTTTAAAGCGTGATCCCCACCATAACCAATTCAACTACTATGTTCCCAAGTGAACGTCATATAGCTTGATTTTGCACAAGTGTTTGATCGGTTCGGGCACAAAACGCTGTCAATTCACTTCGTCCTTTTAGATTTTTTGAATACTTTTTTTTTAAAAGGCAACGGTCGTCCCTAGTAGTTAATTGGCGCAGTCGCAGTAGGATTTCCAGAAATTGAGAAATTGATCTATCGGTGATTAGTGTTTGGCCGAATGGA